TGCAATAAACATAGGGGCCCATATCTTTTTGAATTAGTGTTTTCATTTTCTTGCGGTAAATACCAAGTAGTAGAATTCTTGCATCATATGGTATTTCTATTTTTAAATTTTTGAGGAACCTGCATACTGTTTTTCACAGTGGCTGACCAATTTACATTCCCCCCCAACAGTGCACAAGAGTTCCAGTTTTCTCCACATCCTTGCCAACACCTGTTATTCTTATCTTTTTGATTTTAGCCATTCTGACAGGTGTAAGGTGATATCTCATTGTGGCTTTGATTTGCATTTCCTTGATAATTAGTGATGTTGAGCAACTTTTCATGTGTCTGTTGGCTGTCTGTATGTCTTCTTTGGAGAAATGGCTCTTCAAGTCCTTTGCCCATTTTTTAATTGGGTTGTTGTGGGTTTTTCATCGGTTTATTTTGATTTTGGTGTTGGGTTGTGTAAATTTATTTATTTTATATATTAACCCCTTATTGGATATAATCTTTGCAAATATCTTCTCCCATTTAATAGGTTTATTTTTTGTTTTGCTGATGATTTTCTTCACTGTGCAAAAACTTTTTATTTTGATGTAGTATCAATTGGTTTTTTTTGTTTGTTCATTTATTTATTTATCTATTTCTTTATTTCTTTATTTCTTTATTTTCATTTTGTGTTCCTTGCCTTAGGAGACATATCTAGAAAAATGTTATGCCAGCTGATGTCTAGAGAAATTGCTGCCTGTGTTCTCTTCCAGGATTTTTTATGGTTTCAGGTCTCACGTTTAGGTCTTTAATCCAATTTTAGTTTATTTTTGTGTACAGTGATAGAAAGTAGTTCAGTTTCATGCCTTTGCATGTAGCTGTCCAATTTTCCCAGCACCATTTATTAAAGAGACTGTCTTTTCTCCATTGTGTGTTCTTGCCTTCTTTGTCATAGATTAATTGACCATATAAGCATGGGTTTATTTCTGGGTTCCCCTATTGTATTCCATTGATCTATGTGTCTGTTTTTGTGTTATGTCGCATAGTTTTCAATGTACAGATATTTCACCTCCTTGGTTAAATTTATTCCTGGTTGTTTTATTCTTTTTGGTGCAAGTGTAATTGAGATTTTTACAAATATTTATTTCTGGTAGTTTGTTATTAGTGTATAGAAACGTAACAATTTTTGTATATTGACTTTTGTATCCTGAAACTTTACTAAACTTGTTTATTAGTTTAATAGTTTTTGGTGGAGTCTTTAGAGTTTTCTGTATATAATATCATGTCATTTGCAAATAGTGAGAGTTTTACTTCGTCCTTTCCAATTCAGATAATTTTTTTCTTGTCTAATTGCCATTATGAGGACTTCCAGTACTGTGTTGAATAAAAGTGGCAAGAGTGGGCATCCTTGTTTTGTTCCTGATCTTAGAGGAAAGGCTTTTAGCTTTTCAGCATTTAGTACAATGTTAGCTGTAGGTTTGTCAAATATGGCCTTGATTGTAGTGAGATACATTCCCTTTGCACCACTTTGTTGAGAGTTTTTATCAATCTACTTAAAACAACTCCGTGAGGTCAAGAGTACTTGGATATTTTTATTTGATTTTGGAGCTGAAAAAAGTACTTTAAAGACTTGATTAAATAATATAATGAAAAAATTGTGTTAAGAAAATAGATTAAAACAGAAAAAGATTGTCTTGAGTTAGCCATGTTTCTTGTGATTAAAACAAAATAAACCAAAACTCACTGGTGACAATTCCCTCAAGCAATAGAAAGTTTTGAATTAGACGTTCCCCATATACTTAAAATCTAGGGATCTTGCAGTTTTTTTGATTTAAAATTTATGCCACTGAAATTTTTGAAACCTTATAATATTCTGTTCAGAAACCTTGATTTGTAGAAGGGAATACCTAATATTTATGATTATAGGAAATTATGGATTCATATACTATGAACCAGAACCCCTCCATCCAGAGACAGAATGAAACAAGACAAATATATTTAGATGAGTGGACATATGGCTAAATTATTTTTTATGGAAGTAATCATAGAGGATGATGATAAGCAAAATTGGGAATATTTGTATTAGTGATTTGGGTAGAAGGTTGAAAAACTTAACAGTTTTAAGGATGTCATTAGGCAGATGACAGTGGGAAAATGATGTTTGCCAATGCTTTGGCTGGTAGAATTGCACATCTGAAAAATCTAGCTATGTAGCCAATAGTGAACAAAAAAAAAAGGAAAGAAAATCTAAGAGGACAAATGTGTAATAGGTATTAATTATAGACCAGGGGCAGAAAAATGCCAGTCACTGCAAAATCCGATCTGCAGATGTGTCTTATTTAGCCAGTGGAGTTTGTTTGTTTGTTTGTTTGTTTGTTTGTTTATTTATTTATTTATTTATGATGTTGAATTTGAAGCAATTTAAGCAGGTCAGCAGGCATTCTAGGTTTTACATTATCCTCTCTTTCCCCACCCAGTTCCCTAGTAAGGCCTCTATTAGCTGTAGTGATGCCTTATTGGAACCTAAAAGAATCACCTACTCTGGAAGCATGCAGCCCCAAAGCACAGCTGTCAGAAGAGCAGGGTCTGGACTGTGACTGTTACGTGCTATTCTGCCTTGAAATTTTGTGAAATTTAGAAGTTGCATACCTTTGCCTGGAAACTCTTACTACTGGCTTATGTTCTTTTTCTTCACACATGGATGTTACTGTCTGGCCCCTGAAGGCTTTACATTATTGACCCTAAATTAAAATTTGACCGTCTTTATGGCATCGTGGTAGTCATAGTCTAAAGTAATTTAATTGACCAGTAGATAATATACTTTGGAGAGAATGCTGATATCAGTATTTTTTTCTTACTGTATTATTTGACTTTTTCCTATATTGACCCAGACGTTGGGAACGTGTAGTTTTTAATGGTAAGAGGAAAATTAACTCAATGTAAGAAAATATGGCAAGAAAAATTTTTTTAGATATCATTAAAAAAATTATGTTGAGGGGCGCCTGGGTGGCTCAGTCGATTAAGCGTCCAACTTCAGCTCAGGTCATGATCTCACGGCCCGTGGGTTCGAGCCCCGCGTCAGGCTCTGTGCTGACAGCTCAGAGCCTGGAGCCTGTTTCAGATTCTGTGTCTCCCTCTTTCTCTGACCCTCCCCTGTTCATGCTCTCTCTCTCTCTGTCTCAAAAATAAATAACGTTAAAAAAAATTTAAAAAAATTATGTTGAATCTCTTGTATAGTTAATGTGTTTTTGAAAAAAAATATACTTGGGGGAATGCCTAGGTGACTCAGTTGGTTAAGTGTCCAGCTCTTGATTTCAGCTCAGGACATGATCTCATAGTTCATAGGACTGAGCCCCACACTGGGATCTGTGCTGACAGTGCGGTGCCTATTTAGGATCCCCTTTCTCCCTCTCTTTGTGCCCCACCCCCCGAAAATAAACAAATAAAATAAAATCCTTTTAAAAAAGAAAAATTATATTTGGGTTTGCACTTAAATACAACTTTTAGAATGGCTTACCTATTCTTCTTATGAAGGACAGAAATTAGTAATATTTCTATTTTTGTGCTTCTCCAATTAAAGGGAAAAACATCTTAATAGGTTACTGAGAAAGGTATGCAAATGAAAAAAGAGAGAAAAAACTAAATGCAATGAAATATAGAAATATAAAAAAGATTATAATAATCAAGTTGAATAAGGTTGTGCTAATTAGACTATTTTTAACATATTTAGGTAGACCAGGGTAAATATTACCTGCTAAATCAATGTCACTTTTAAAATAATTTAATTTATATACAAAGTTTTATTTTATTTTATTTATGTATTTTTAAAAGTTTATTTATTTTAGAGAGAGAGAGAGAGCACACATGAAAGCTGGGGAGGGGCACAGAGAGAGGGAGAGAGAGGATCCCAAGCAGGCTCCATACTGAAAGCAGAGCAGGGATCTATCTCAGGATGCTGTGCAATCATGACTTGAGCCAAAATCAAGAGTCAGATGCTTAACTGACTGAGCTACTCAGGTGCCTACACAGCTTTGTTTTAAAGATAAATTGATAATTGATAGTTTCCCTCTCCTTTAAATAGACACATTGGGTCATTGGTGAGAGGGATATGGAAAACAAATTTTACTATTGATGACTTCTAAGTTTGAGAGGGTGGAGAAAAGAACTACTGAATTAAATCTTCTTCCACCTTTGTTCTTCTTCAGTGCTGACCATTGTTATATGACAGGGCAACAGTGCAGGTTTACATAAACCACCCAATCTATGCATTCAGTGGCATTCTGCACTGATACATGTCTCCCAGAGGTGTGCTGTATCATTCCATAGGTTGTGTTCAGGGGGTATAAAATTTCTGAACACTGAGAGTGTATGGCCTAATTATTAGAGAGTATCAGTTAAATTAAAGTACATATTAAATAGCATACAGATAGAAGTACTGGAATGGGTTGTTCAGATGAGATTGTGCTGTAATGTCTCTTTGGAGTATTTTGAATGCTGCAAAGGTGTATTTTTAAAAGCTCCAAAGGCAATTTTGGGTAAGATTTGCTCTATTGGGGGTCATGCAAAATACCAATCAATGCCACTTCCAAGCTTGCCTTTGCCTGTTAATTTATCCTGGATTCCCAGGTTTTGCTCCTTTAGCTTTGTCTATATAACATGGCATGTTATCTTTGTAATGAGAGGATGAGATAGATCCATTACAGTAAAAGATATGCACTATTAATGAGTTTCTAGCCAGCTATCAAGGTATCATCAAATGTGGTTTATCTTGGTGAATGAAAGTTCGAATGGAAAATTAAGCTCCCATACTGACTGTAGAAGTGCAGTGGATCATTTTGTTCTTTAATGTCACACTTCACTGGACACACTTCACAGAGCAGTGAATCATGCTTAAAACAAGCAGCCTTTACTTTAGCGACAGCAGATAATGCAGCAGAGGTGAATAATAAGTGTTAGCAGTCTTAACTTTCTCTTACAGTGCTTTCTCCCAGGTGCCTGATGGACAATTTACAAAGTACATATGCTATTTTATAGATTGGAACTTGGGATCCCGCCAGTGGCCTGAATATGACAGAAAGTCAAAAAGGAAAGCCAGCCAACATCACAGATTCCTTATCCAATCGTTCTTTGATTGTGACCACCATTTTGGTAAGTATTTGTTTTCCCATTTTTTTTAGATAAATGTAGATAAACATGGAAGTGGATTAAAAATGGCATTATAATTTGAACAGTAAGGAACAGAATGTAATGTATTTTACAGTTATTTAGCAATTACTGTATAACAGATAAGTCAAGGTTAATTTAGCCAGTTTTTATTATGTTAGTCTTCAATGATGTAACTTGTATTAATGTTTGGGATGTTTATATTGATTAATAATACAACTTTATATATTACTAGAATGCATTACATTTCTACAAAATGAGTTCCTATTGAAGAATTTTCAGTGTTAAGATTTAAAATATATATGGACATGCAGATGTATATGGTTATGTGAGGGGCTACATGTGAACTTTGCTTCTGCTTTCACCTCCTGAAAATATCTTTTAGAGAGCCTGTAATTAATTTTTCAGGATTTTTCCTATTGTATTCCAACCTTGCTTTCAATTGTCTTCATCATGGAAAATCCATCTCCCTAATAAAATTAGGTGACAAGTGCTTTCTTAAACCAGAAAAATTTTCACCAGCAACAGAATTAATACAGATGCGCTGGATATATTTACCCTCCTTATAATGATATATTTTAATTAGATCCTATAGTAATATTTACCTATGCCTACTATGTCATTTGAAATGTGAATTTTAATTTTAGAATAAGCAAGGACCTCTTATATAAAATTAAGTCATTACTTTCTACCTACAGAATAAGCTTATCCATGCTAATTCTTGTGTCTTCCCAGGTAGTCGATAAGAATGTGAGATTAATATTCAGAACAAACAAACCACCATACACTTTTAGCATTTATATAATTTCTATATTTGATTTATGGTGGAAAGCAAGCCAGGAGGAATTGATAATCTTGTTCTTTTATTAACAACAAGGGATGTCACATCTTTAGGCATGTCAGAATAAAATAGCTTGGGTTAAAGACTCTTGATAATGAAGCAAAGGTGGTAATAAAGAAATGACACTGATGGAAGTTCATGAGTTTTTTTAATCACTCCCTTGCTAAGAACCTCAGTGAATACTGGGTCTCTATCCATCATATCTAAACTTCCTATGTTCTCTTTATATCTCCCTCTCTTTTCAAAGGTAACTCTCATGCCCACCAACTCACTGGCCTTGTCCTTCAGTTGAAATGCTCTCACAAGATGCTAATGCATCTTTTTTCTGCCTGTATGTCCTGGATCTCATTACCTCCTGCTAGGACTATGGCAGTAACCATGAAATTATCCATTTGCTGACAGCCTTTTTCCCTTTGCAATGTACCCTACTCCCCATTGTAATGATCTGTCATTTTCCTTGCTTATAATGCTTTAGTGAATCCATATTGACCATTAAAAAGTGCCTAAAATTTTGGGGCACCTGGGTGGCTCGATCAGTGGGGCATCTGACTTCGGCTCAGGTCATGATCTCACAGCTTGTGAGTTTGAGCCCAACATCGGGCTCTGGGCTGGCAACTCGGAGCCTGGAGCCTGCTTCGGATTCTGTGTCTCCCTCCCTCTCTCTGACCCTTCCCCACTCACACTCTGTCTCTCTCTCTCAAAAGTAAATAAACATTAAAAATTTTTTTTTAAAAAAGTGCCTAAAATTTTGACCCTATGTTCAAGACGTCCTACACTCTTGTTTTCTCCCACCTTTCCATCCTCATTTCCTATTATGCCCTTTCAGGAACCCTGTGTTTTAACCTACCTGGGGTAACCAGTTAACCTATTCCCATGATTGTGTTAGCCCTATTCTTTTGTCTGCAATATGTTGCTTGCCATTTCTGAGATTTGATAGTACTTGTCAGTACTTTATATTATTTAGGATTAATATTATATCATTCTTTACCTATTTCATGTGTGCAGTATTTCTCCAAACATCACTGAACACTTATTTGAAGAATAGGATCTATGTCTCCTATTTTTACATCATATGTGTCTCTGCAATGCTCATAAAAAGTGTTATATAGGGGACATTTGTAGTCTTCAGCAGTTGGCACTTCTTTCTGTGTTCTCCTTGATCCACAAATTCCCAGATACATCACTTATCTTACGGCTCCAAAACTGCTCACTTCTTTACATCTCCCTGTGAGAATCCTATTCATCCTTCCAGACTCATCTCAAATGACAACCACTCCATGAAAATATCTGATCTCTCCATTAAGTTGTGTGTACGTTGTGGGGTGTGGAGGAATGTACACTTTATGTATCATAATACACTATAATGGCAATTATGCACTGTTTTCTTTAGAAAATTTGTATATCTGTGTTTCCACTTGAGATGAACATAAAGCCCATGATCAAATTTTACAGTTTTGATATCTCAATGTCAGAAAAAAAGTGTCCTAGGCATAGCAAGCACTCAAATATTTGTCAAATTAAATTAAGTAAACAGTATTTAATTAAATGGAAAATTAGAAGAAGTAAGCAACTTTTGAATGGTTATACCTAAATATTTTTCAACTGTGAAGGTTATTGCAAACTGCTTGTCCCAACAAAGCAGGTCGATTAAGGTGATCCATATAATTTCTCAGTCTTAATTACTCATGGTTATTTTATAAGAAGTATTCAGACATTTTTCTCAAGCATAAACAATTTTGTGTCTATTGAAACAAGTGTCACTTAATCTTAGCTTTATATTGAAACCAGAAATAAAGCCTTTTAAAAAGTACTTGTACCCAGAACACATTTCATACCTTTTAAAACAGTATCTCTGAGCTTTGGACTTGGGAAATCTTCATTTTTAAAAACTTCCATAGGTAATTCTGATGTATAACAATGATTGAGAACAAACTGCTCAGATCATTACTCTGCATAACTAAGATGTAAGATCAACTATGAAACATACACTAACTTACATTAAAAAAATAGGTTATTGGGGCACCGGGGTGGCTCAGTTGGTTAAGCATCTGACTTCCGTCCAGGTCATGATTTCACAGCTCATGGATTCAGTTCTGAGTTGGGCTCTGTGCTGAGATCTCACAGACCTGGATCCTGCTTCAGATTCTGTGTCTCCTTCTCTCTCTGTCCCTCCCCTGCTTGCACTCTGTCTCTCTCTCTCTCTCTCTCTCTCTCTCTCTTTCAAAAATAAATAAACATTAAAAAATAGTTTATTTCTATTTTAGAGTATATCCCTCTATTGGTCTCTAAGTGATTCTGGTATTTACTAAAAGGAAAGTCACTTTGTTTTTATATCACTTATTGAAAAAGTTCTTGTTCTGAATAATACTCTGATCATAAGATATCCACAATTGAGAAAATAACATGTTTGAAGAGACTAGTTACCTTATTTAGTAAGCATTATGCTTGATAGAATTTACTGATAGTTTATATTTTATAAAGCGGTATGATCATTTGATTTATGTTTGGTAATTTTGTCCTTTTCTCTCTTGGAAAAATCTAAGAGGAGTTTCTGGCTGAGTTGCGAATAATGGTGTCTCCACAAAGAGAAGCTGTGGAGATACCAAAGAGAAGTTCACTTCTGCTTCTTGTTCAATATTCTTATTAAGATATGTGCCTTAAGAAAAAACAGTGAGGTATTCTAGGATTTGACATTTTCAGTGTTCTAATCATAATCAATCCATTTCTCTTGAATTTATTTTTATTTTTTCCTTTATTTAATGAAAATGTACTGAATGATGATTGTGCGAAAGCCTTGTTTGCTGAGCAAAACACATATGGTATTTGCCCTCAGGGAACTTAGAAAATGGTGAAGATTCATAGGGAAGATCACACACACACACACACACACACACACACACATTACCTTCTGATTAAGATATAAGAAAAAGATAAGCAGAGTAATGCCTTTTACAGGATACTTCTGAGTTATCCTTGGAGCCAGGAGTGACAGGACAAGTCAGACAGGCCTCCCTGCAGAGAAATAGACAGCAGAGATCTGAAGTCTGAGAAGGAATTAGCAAGGTAGAGAAAAAGGAGTATTATTGGCAGAGGGAATAGCATATGCGAGGGCCCTAAAGCAGGAAAGATCTTGAAAAATTTGCAAAATGGAAAGAAAAACATAATGGCTGGTGCTGGTGCCTTGGTGCCTTCGTCTGCTTCTCAGCTTTATAAAATATGACACAGTCCATTACCAAAAAAGCAAAAAATGAAAAACAAAAAACCAACAGACATTTATTTCATGCCTGCTATGTGCTAGCCCCTGTTCAAAGCACTACTCATGTATTTACTCAGTTAATAGTCATAATAACCTTTTTTGATAGCATTATTTCTACTACTTTTACAATTAAGAAAGCTAATGTCTGGATTGCCTAAATAGCCTACTCATGGACACACAGCTAAAAAGTAGAGTAGTGGGGTTTTAACCAATCTGTTTAGGCAACTTGAGCAACCAATACTATGTAATGAAAACTCCATTGGTCAACTACGGAAAAGTCTAGCAACTATAGTTTATGGCCAAAACAACATCTTGATTGAGAGAGTTTTTCCCCTAAAGCAGTACTTCTTATCCAGAAATCCTATATATGCTAGAACACTGTTTTGCTATTATGAGTGTGCCCCACATGGCTAGACATTCCCCACCGTGGAGGCCAAGATTAGATTACACTTGGTTGGGTATCTTGGCCCTCCCATTTCTCTCCTCTTTTAATGTAGCACTCAGTTTTCTTTCAGCCTCTTTAAACCATAATTTCAGATTTTTCTGGGCAATCAAAATAGTGTTGGGGTTTATCTTATTTTTTTCTCTTTAGAATTGAGATGGAGCATCTTGTTTGTAAATATCTTTTACTCCCCTTGAACAATATAACCTATGCCCAATACATTGTATGGGTGCAGCATATAATTATATCATGGAATGATTCATTTTAGAAAGCCTTAAACATTTTTAAGTGTTTGTTATTTTTTTGTTTAATTTTGAATGAAGACTTAGGATATCCTATATTTTGAAAATTTATGTAACTCCACCTGCAAGACTGGACCTAAAGCTTCGGTCTACTCATACCCTCTTCTTAATATACCTTATATTACCTCTCTGGCCTTTGAATTT